ATCAGACTTACTTTACGGTCTTCTTCAAGCTATTGGTGGTCTCTTATTTCAAGTTCCTTCAGAATCAGCTGCCGCCCCCATTCTTCACCAACTGATGAAACGACTGTCTGAACTTCGAAATGAAATCTTGTTCACTCAACTTCTGACAACTGAAACGCCCTTACCCGACTTGGATCAAATAAATCTGGAAGCTTCCTTGACTAAACCAAAGAATCCATTCAACAAGCGACTGGAAGACTAGAAGGCCTCTCTAACGCCAAAGCACAAATAGAAGAATCAATCCAACAAAAGGAGGCAGAACTGAGAGCACTTCATCAAGAAAAATCTGTCCTCGAAGGCCATATAAGCGACGAGCATCGCCTGATTGATCAGTACAAGAAAAATGCAGCTGACCTGGACCAAGACCTGAAGATTCACGCCCGATCCCAACTTATAAGGCAATACCAGTCGGCTGCCAATAACAGTCGACTCTCCAAGACATAAGATAAATGGTCCCAGATTAAAATTGCTTTAGGATCTCTTCTATAAACTTATTGGAAAATTTGACTTGGTAAATAAATTTTTATCCTATTGTTAAGGATCACTTCCCAAAACTCCGACCCTCCAGGGAACCAATCTAATTAGTCTCCCTTATAAACACCTGCAATCATTGCCAATCAACGACCAAACGTTTAACCACAAATTGGACCTTGAGCACGTCTGCTAATAAATATTGAAATGCCACCCAACCGTCCTCATGTTCCTGTAAACAATTGACAAGGTGTTATTTAATCTTTCTTCGTGGGTAATCACCCAGTGGAGGCCATGCCGAAGACTTGTTATACATACTCAAACAATTGGATTTCAAATTCAGATTTTCCAAACGAGGCAGAAAAACCATTCATCGTGTTATTCGCCTGATGGAAAATGTGCTTGAGGGATATGAAACCCTTCGGGATATACAAAATCGTCTTCCCGACATTGACCATCATATGGATTTGATTGAACACCATGTGACAGCCATACTCCCAGACCTTGGCTGGGATCATACATTCTCCAATCAGCGCGCAGTCTTTTCCAGGTTACGCACTCTTGTTGACCGTGAACGCCAAGCCGTGACAGACATGAAAGCTCGCACCGACTATGATCTTGAGAAGATGCAAGATCAATAGGAGAAGTACCGACCTAGCTTAGAGGAACTTATTGATGAAGAACCAGAATTAATCCCTAATCACTGGAATGAAGATTCTGACTCAGAAGAAAGTAATCCCCTGCACGACTCAACATCTGATAATGAATGAACCTTGTTAGTTCCGAACCCTTGGCAAACGAGTTCTGAATAAAATTATTGTTTCATGCTTTCTTGTTATCTGAAAAGGCAGGAAAATACCTTTTCGGATATTTAGCATTAATACAGTCGTGTACCCTTTTACCTTCTTGATTTATAATAATCCCAATAATGATCTTGTTAGCGGCTTCTGCCTGCCCATTAGCTTGTGGATAATAACGCGAAGAATGATTCAGACGAATACCAAACTCTGCCAAGAAGCTTAAATACTTCTCCCCAGTAAAGACCAGACCTTGGTTGGTTGTTACTGAATAAGGAATACCATACCTATATATGATCTGATTCAACACAAAATCTATCACCTCTTTTTCATCCACATTTTTCAAAGCGATTGCCTCCACCCATTTGGTGAAATAATCTGTTGCAACCAAAATAAAACAATGATTTTTGGACGAGGGGGGATGAATTTTACCAATGATATCCAAAGCCCAAGATTTAAAGGGCCATGGTTTTACCATAGTTTGTAACTCTGTGACTGACAAGTGATTCAACTGCCCATGCCTCTGGCATTCTTGACAACCTTTGCCGAATTGTATGCAATCTTCGAAAATCTTTGGGCAAAAGAAACCCAACCGATGAATAGCCCATCTCATATTCAAACCTGCCCGATGAGCTCCACAGATCCCACTGTGTACTTCTGTCATCACCTCCAAAGCCTGTTTGGACCCCAAATATTTCAGTAGTAATCCCTCGAATGTCCTTTTATATAGTATTCCTTCTACCAATTGGAATCGCAAAGCTTTCAGTCGAATTCCAATCGGTACATTTGCTCTTGGATCTTGTAGATACATGACAAGTTTTGTCCTCCAGTCGGTTCCCGTCTCTGTCTCAGGGCCGACCTCTGCACATATATCTTTTGGGATTCCCTTGCAAGCTTTTTGAGCTAATTCATCCGCAAGTTGATTTTTCTTTCTAGGGATGAACTCAATTATCACTTCGGAGATCTTTGATAGCAACCGACCTACCACATCCCTGTATCTGCGTAGATGAGGATAATTGCAAACATATTATTTGTTTACTTGGTTAATTACCAACTGAGAATCCCCTTTTATGATAACCGACTGAACTTTCCTGGCTATTAAAGCTTCCAATCCCAAGATTAAAGCCTCATATTCTGCTGAATTATGGGTCATGGCTTCTAATTGCAACTGCAATTTGACCATTTGACCGTCCGGTCCTTCCAACAGAACACCTTCACCCGACCTATCTCCTGAAGTAGAACCATAAAAAAATATTAACCAATTTCGGGTACTTACATAAGATATACACCCAGTCGGTTCCTGCTCACAACCAGAGAAGTCTGCCAAAAAATCTGCTATTGTTTGGCCTTTCACCGCCCTCAAAGGGGAATGATATAAATCAAAATGTGCTAATTTAATGGCCCACTTCATAAGCATGCCCTGCATAGTAGGTCTTTGCAAAATTAACTTGATGAGATCAATCTTTGAAATAACCTTAATTCTTCTGGGCAACATATAATGTTCAAGTTTGGTGCATGCAAACACCAATGAATAACACATTTTTTCTGGCATGGTATAATTTAATTCTGGTCCTGTGAGAGTCTTGCTCAAAATAATAAACTGCCCTTTCCTTTCCATCATCTCCATCTTGTGCCAATAAACAACTGACCACTTCATATGTATTTCCCAGATAAAGTTTAAGGGGCCGACCTTCCTTGGGAGGCATCAACACAGGTGGTTGAGCCAATGCTTGCTTTATAGCTTCTAAAGCTGTCTGTTGGTCTGGTCCCCACTCAACGACGCTCCCCCCTACCTTCAATAATTTAGTGATTGGTCTGACCTTGCCAGCAGCATTGGAGATGAACCGTCTAAGATAATTTACCTTCCCCAAAAGACTTTGTATTTCCTTAACCGTCTTCGGTGGTCGGCTAGCAAGAATTGCTTTGGCTTTATTAGCATCGATCTCAATGCCCTTTCATGAACCAAAAATCCCAAGAAGCTCCCGGCTGAGATACCGAAAGCACACTTAGTCGGGTTCATCTTCAACTTGTACTTCTTCATCAGACTGAAGGCATTTTTAAGATCCCTCAAATGTTCCTCAAAACTGGAGGATTTGACGATAACATCATCAATGTACACTTCTATAGATTTACCAATGAGATCATGAAAAATTGAATTCATGGCCCTCTGATAAGTCGCCCCAACATTTTTCAAAGCAAAAGGCATAACTGCCCACTCATAAATACCTAAAGCTCCTGGACATCTAAATGCTATCTTGTGAATGTCTTATTCTGCCAAAAAGATTTGGTTATATCCTACATAACCATCCATCAAACTGAGAATTTTGTGTCCTGCTGCTGAGTCAATTAGCATGTCAGTCATAGGCATCATATACTCATCTTTAGGAGTGGCCATATTAAGATCTCTAAAATCGATGCATATCCCGATCTTACCATTCTTTTTAACCACTGGCACAATATTGACCAACCAATCTGCATAATGGCAAGGTCGGATGAAACCTACTTTAAGAAGCTTCTGAATTTCTTCTTTGATCTGAGACATCAAATCAGGACTCATACATCTTGGAGATTGCTTATAAGGCTTAAAACTCTTTTTAACGGGCAATCGATGTTCTATCAGACTTCGCTCTAAACCAGACATTTCTGAATAATCCCAAGCTAAACAATCAATATTCTTTCTTATAAAGTCGAGCATCAATTTTTGTTGCTCTTCAAACAAGTAACCACTCATCTTGATTATTTTTGGAACCAAGTCAATTCCTAAGTTAAATTCCAGCAAATGATCTTGTGCTGAAAAAGCTGGCTCTGTTTTCTCTAATAAATCAGGCCAACAAAACTGCTCATATTCTTGGAAATGAACATCATGAGTCTTTTTTATTTTTTCTACATTTTTCAAAAGCTGGTTTAAATAAAACTGATTAATAAGTACACTACAATCTTGTAAATTTGAACCTTCCATAAAAGATATATTACAAAAAATAGGTTTGGCTTCCTCAAGAGCCATACAGTAAAACTGTTCTTCTAAAAGAACATTGAGTTCTAGCTGATGAATTTAAAATCCTTATTTGGGTATTCATTAGCCATAAAGAACTGGGACATTGGAAGTAAATGACTGGAATAAAAAACTGATTCTTCAACTTGTTCCAATGCTCCAAACGGGTTGTCATTTGCTTCCATTTTGAAGACCTGATTGTTTTCCCAGAACATTAATTGTTGATGCAGTATTGATGGCACACATTTAGATGCATGAATCCAGTCTCGTCCAAGTAGGATTGAGTATGTTATGCAGCAGCAGCCTCTTTCTGATGTTAATTTGCAATTATTGCTTTAATTTAAACATGTGTGTTGTATAAATATAGTGAAATAATATTTAATTGAAATAACATGGTCGTCTTATAGTCTGTGTTTGTTCCATATCACTTGTTACATCGGCTTTCGTTATGCCATCCCAGCTTATTCCGTTTAAATTTTAATGATCAGACCAAAATTGATAATTTTTTTTTTTAAGAGATTAATTTTAATAATTATTTTTGAATAAGACCAAAAATAAAAAAAATAAATTCGATTGAGACCAAATTTGATTGACTCTAAGAAAAAATATATTTATGAAAATTTGTAATAGAACAAACAGAGACTATTTTTTTAATTTACGATGAAAACAACTTAAGAAATAACGTACAAAGAGTCACACACCTCTACTATTGACAGCGTAAATGTTGGGAACGATAATTCAACCCCGGTCTAATGAGATGAATAGTTTCATCTGACCGCAGGAAGGGTCGTCGTCGTCGCCACCGCCGTCTTGGAGCGGCGCCGGGAAACCCGCGCGGATTGGGCATATATTCGCCAAGCTTAGGTAAAGCGTTGCTGATTTATTCGGCACAGTTCGAATCTGCTTTTTCTCCTGCGCAATTTCTACCTTGGCTACTTTTCTACGGTTGTGTCGAGAGAGGAGAGAGAGAGAGAGAGTCAAACGTCGTCGTTTCATCAGTTCCATGGCGATTCTCTTCGCTAGAAGCAGTCAGTAGTCACCGCAGAGGGAGTGTTGGATTTCCTTTTTACTGATGAGGAAAAGCCAATTTCGTGATCTAAGCTCCCCCAAACCCAAACCCTAGATTGTGATTCTGCCTTCCGGTGAATCTAATCGCAATGGGGTGCACGCAATCGAAGATCGAGAACGAGGAGACGGTGAATCGGTGCAAGGAGCGGAAGCAGCACATGGAGCGGGCGGTGACGGCGAGGAACAAGTTCGCCGCAGCGCACTCCGGCTACGCCATGTCGTTGAAGAACACCGGCGCCGCGCTCAGCGATTTCTCCCAAGGCGAGGCTGTTTACCCTCCCTCCGGCGTCTCCTCCGTGCAATCCTCCACCATTGGAGTCGGCGCTCCTCTGCCTCCACCTCGTCTCAACGAAATTTTCCATCCACCTCCTCCTCCAACGACCTTCGCTGACCCTCCTACCCCCCTCCAGCGCTCCGCCACCATGCCTGAAATTTCCATCCCTCGACCTGATAACCTACACTCCGATCCAATAATTGAGGAGGAAAACGAAGAGGATGTTGATGGAGAAAGTATCCATAGCTTAAAACGGCGTAGCAGTAAGTCCAGGGGCAGGAGAGGCGGCGCGTCATCCTCGGAGGTCATACCGGACGAACCCTTGCATCCGCCACACAAACCTGATCGCCGTGGTCTCGATCACCAGCAGCAGAATCATCCACCGCCGCCTCCTCATGACGATAAAGGCATGTGGGATTATTTCTTCCTGGGGAACATGCCGGGGCCTACATTAGCACCGGAGGAGAATAGTATTGAAAGAGAGGAGATGGAACGGAAGATGATGGAAGAGAGGCACAGGGCAAGAGAAAGGGAGGCGAAGAAAACTGAGAAAGTAGAGGTTGTTCCAGATATTGTTGAGCCTGTAAGTGAAATACTGCCACCGCCCCCGTTGCCAGCCGAAGTTGCAATTCCTGGTACAGGGAAGGTTCCCAAAAGGGTGAAACCAGATGTTCCACCTGAGGAGAAAAGGAAGGGAGCGGGAAATAATATGAATTTGATGCAAATATTTATTGAGCTCGACAATTGTTTTCTTAGTGCTTCAGAGAGCGCTCACGACGTTTCTCGAATGCTTGAGGCAACTCGCTTGCATTATCATTCGAATTTTGCAGATAAAAGAGGTGCAAACTGGTTTTACTATGTCGGTGAACTTGCTTGTAGCAATTTCTATATGGACATTCATGCTTGGAATGATGAAGCACCAACAAACTTGAGACTTGAGATTATTGTGTGTTGATTGTTGAAGATAAATAACTGATTATTTACTCAAGCACATGTTAACTAATATGTCATTTGTTGGCAGGGCACATTAATCATTCAGAAAGGGTAATGCGAGTCATTACGTGGAATAGGTCCTTCAGAGGTTTCCAGCAAAACCTTGATGATGGGGTGGATGACTTTGATTCGGAGGAGAATGAAACTCATGCAACGGTGTTGGACAAAATGCTGGCGTGGGAGAAAAAGCTTTACGATGAAGTGAAGGTATATCATCATATTTCTATCTTTGTAGCCATTCTGTTTTGATGTTGGCTCATTAAAAGTTTAAAACAACTGATCTGTTTTCCTTGTTAATTATGATGGGAGTTGGATTGTCGTAATATTCCTCATCAGTGGCCACACTTTGATTTTCTTGAAAAGATTGGCATGTGGTTTTTTCCAGTAACTTTGTTTAACTGATCTAAGGTAATCACTTCTTTAGGTTCTGCACTGACCATATTTACTTCAGTGAAGATTGGCTTCATCAATTTAACTTTATCACTGCAGCCAGCTTAGATTCCTCATATCCTTTCGAGCTACCTGTACCATCATAAATTTTCAGCTGAAAATTGAATGTGAGAAGTTTTTAATTTCATCTACTTAGGTAACTCAGTTTAATTTTTCTAAAGGTAACCAAGTTTTTAGGTGCTGCACATGGTTGTATTTAATGTAGTGAAGATTGGCATCCTGCTTTCAACTTTATGGTTGCATTCAGTTTAGTAGCTTACGCTTTTCGTGACTTTTGAATTAGTTGCATTATCATGCTTCTGTTGAACATTGAATGTGTGAGGTATCCAGTCAGCTTTACTTATTAAGAAAGTGAATGGACAAACTGATTTGAGGTCTTGCTTATGAGGAATAATACTCAATGGTGACATGTGATCCATGTGGCATAGTTCAATTAATGAAATTAAAAATTTAGGAGATCGTGTTAATCTTGAACACAATGTTTGTGCATTAATTATTGGCGCTAAAATCGGGATATGTTTTGTTATGGAAATATAATACAAAGTCTTGGCTGTTACTTATTGTTCTCGACAAATTATTCATGCTGAGATGACACAATGCTTTTGTAGTAATTCTTGTTCGTTATCTATTTGTTTTAAGTTTTTATTTTGTCCTTAACAGACGGGCGAGCAGATGAAACTTGAATATCAGAAAAAGGTCGCCTCCCTAAACAAGTTAAAGAAACGTGGTACTAATACGGAAGCATTGGAGAGAATGAAAGCATCGGTGAGCCATCTTCATACAAGATACATTGTTGACATGCAGTCCATGGATTCCACTGTTTCCGAAATCAATCGTCTCCGTGATGAACAACTGTATCCAAAACTTGTTGCTCTTGTCGATGGGTGAGTCTTTCGTTCTGCTTTGACCGCGACCTCTGTCTATTTATCTGTTCTTTGCTATAAATGGGATTGGTCATGCAGGATGGCTGCAATGTGGGAGACGATGAGAACTCACCACGAGAGCCAAACCAGGATCGTTCAAAATTTGCGCTCCCTCGACATATCACAGGCTCCGAAAGAAACATCCGACCACCACCACGAGCGTACACGCCAGCTAGGCGGTGTCGTCCAGGAGTGGCACAACAATTTCAGTGAGCTCATGAGCCAACAAAAGGAATACGTCCGAATGCTCAACCATTGGCTGAAGCTAAACCTCGTTCCCATCGACACAAACTGGAAAGAGAAAGTCTCATCACCCGGAAGATCCCAAAACCCACCGATACAGCGGCTACTGCTCGCCTGGAACGAGTATCTTGAGAAACTCCCAGACGAGCCAGCAAAAGCAACCATAAGCAACTTTGCGGCCATAATCAAGACGATATGGCAGTACCAGAAAGAGGAAATGGATTACAGAAACAGATGTACAGAATCCCGGAAGGAGCTCATCAGAAAGACCCGAGAATTCGAGAATTGGTACAATAAGTACATGCAGAAGAGAACGCCTCCAGACGAGCTGGATCCGGACAGGGCTCATGACAAAGAACTCATCAACGAGAAGCAGCAAGCAGTCGAAATGGCGAAGCATAACTTGGAGCAGGACGAGGAAGCCTACCAGAAGCAATGCATTCAAGTCAGAGACAAATCCCTCATGAGCCTCAAAACCAGCTTGCCTGACCTATTCCGAGTACTGTCAGATTTCTCCCTCGCCTGCTCGGACATGTACAATCGGCTGAGGTCCATCATCCGATCCCGGAACTGAATTAAGGCTCGACGGCGAAGGAGATTCTCGGTTTTTTGCCTAGTATGTGCTTTCTCTCTTATGTACTATATATATATATATATATATATGTTGTTGCAAGTAATAATTGCTGCCATTGTTTTGTTTTGTTGTGAAGTAGTAGCAAGGTTTGTTCCATATACTGTTGTACTATTTTAAATTATGTGTTTTTCTTGTGAGAATTGAAGATTTGTGTAAGCACGGTTTTGGGGTATTTGCTCCGTTTATGAAAAGCGACTTTAATGATTGGTTGATCTGGTTCTTCCATGATTCTCTCCGGTTCCTATTCCTCCAGTGTGCATGGGAGAAAATTGTTGGAGGAGAAGTGCAGGGTAGGGTAGGGAGCACGATTGTTCGTCTCCGACTCCCTGTTTGGAACTGTAGATTGGATATGTCTGTAAGAATGGCGCTGCTAGCGCTTTCGGAGTTCCAATCTGCAGTTGTTTAAACTCCCCACCGCCACATTCTCCTCCGTAAGTTGTGTCGTGTCGTTTTTTGTATGTCCTCTGGCTATCCAGTGCTGAGGTCTCTATCCTCGTCTCCATTTCCAGAATGACTGGAGCTTTGATCAGACTTAACTATGGGAATTCGGGCTAAAGTTTCGAATCTGGCTGGCTGTTTACTCTTTGGATTACAATTATTTGACTGTCGAGATTGGATGATACAGGAACAGGCTTGGATTGTTAAGACTTATCAAAGCGTGTGAATCTTCGCATGTGGGCTCAACGCTCGAGTTCGATGCAGTGGAGGTTTTGAATGATGCGATTTTGTTGATTCAGGAGCGGTTATGTTCGATGTTGTAGCGTTGGAGATTTGCGGCAAGTTTGGAAGTTTTTCCTTGCAGTTGCCGCTGAAGATAAATATGTTTCTTTACGACCAGAGAATTGTTAATTAATTTTCAGCAATGATTTGTTCTGCTAACGAATATATGAGCAAAGTGAGTTTGATATACTCTGAATATAAGAAAACACTCCCAATGTATTTAGTTGATATACCGATTCCTTTTTTACAATACAACCGAGAAACCGAGTTTGTACTTGTGAGATTGACGTAGGCTAGATAAACAAGTGGTTTTGAATCACCTGTAAAGAGTTTTGGTTGTAGACAAGAGGGATAGTTTGATTTATACTCAACACTTTATTTTTTTGAAGCATGAAGAATTATTGAGGCGTGACAAAATAGAAGAGAAGATGTAGAATCGATTTGGTGTGTGTGTGTTTGGAAAACAATAGAGTAGAGTGTCAATTAAGTATATAAAGAGCCATTTTAAAGTATGCCAATGTTCACAATTCAGACTTTGAATATTGTTTTTTACTTAGCACAAAACTAAAAGTCATATGAACAAATATTGATTTAGCATAACCTCATAGAAATTTTTTAAATAATTTTTTAAGTATAGTTGAATTGGTTCAAAAATAATTTGAATTTTTTTTCTCTCTAATGATACTCATGCTTAAAATCACATTGACATCACCCAACAATTAAATGTCAAAATTATTACATAAACATTTAGTCACTTGATCAATTAGTTTTCAACATGAACTAATAATCAATATATCATTTATATAAATGAGAAGAAAAATTGGTTGGTTTTTAATATTTTTAAAATACAAAAAATAGTCAAATTTGCTTATAGTAAATTCAAAATTTTTTATAAAATTATCAAATTTGATATTCCATTGTCCAGAGAACTTTAAACTATACAACGATTTATTTAACAAACAAATATGTATTTTGTTTTTATCAACAAAACCTTCAGATTGTTTCATATAAATTGTTTTAAATAAATTTTTTCATTTAATTCACAATGTAAGAAAGTGTGTTTTAACATTTAATTGTTTTAATTCTCAATCATAAAATGCAACTAAAGCTAACATAACTTTAACGGTGGTAAATTTGACAACAGGAGCAAAAATTTCATTATAATATATTCTCTCTTTTTGACTAAAACATTTGGCTACTAATCTTACCTTAAACCTAATTTCACTATCTTTTTGTTTTTAACTTTATAAACCCATTTACAATAAATAAAAGAACAATTAGGATGTTTAAAGATTAAACATCAAATGTTATTATCTTATAATGAATCCATTTCCTCTTTTATAGTTTTTAACCATTGAGTTTTATTTTTAGAATTCATAGTCTCCCTACATGTCTTAGGTTCATTCCTATCTTAATTATCAAACACCCACTAAAAGATAAACAAGACAAATCAAAATCACTAAACCTAGAAGGCAACCTAAGGACTCTTATATCAATATATCTAGTTAATTGATAATTTTTTTAGGCAAATCTGTCTATATCCCCCTTGTGATTTGGAAACTCGGCGCCGTTTCCCTCTGTACTTTAAAAACTGCATAGTACTCTCTTATGTTTTCAGAAACGTTGTGCCTAACCCCCCAATCAGCAAAAGTTAACGGAAGTTGGAATACACGCGCGGAATAAGCGAGTAGACTTGTTAGTACTTTTCTTAAACTACCCAAATTCCATAATTTACCCTTCCACTCCCATTAAGTACAACCATTCTCTATCCATCGATCTCGCACAACCGAAGCAAACCCAGAACACCCCAAATCCCTTCATCGGTGTTGCTCAGCCACTGATTTCCGATTTCCAAATAGGTGTTTGCAAATTAGATTTTATGTTTTCGTTTCTACCTTCTTCCTTGGCTTTCTTTCTCCCTTAATTTTGTTTTTTCTGTGTTCTTCGACATCATAATATGTTTTTGGTTATGGTGTATGTTCTTTCTGCCTTGATGAAGTTTTTCGAATATGGCTATCTTCTTTGTAGTGGCCGAAATTGGTATCTTAAATGGATATTTTTTTAATCGATTTAGAATATTTTTTTTTCAATTTATGCCCTAATGTCATCGGTCTTGTTTGCAATTTTGAGGTTCTTTAATTTGCAGCGAACTGTGTGACTTTATCTTGATTCAAAAAATTTTCTAATTCTCTGAAATTGAGTGATTTTTCCAATGTGTAGATGCTACAGGTAATAGTAATTCTCACACGAAAAAAAGAATGAGTTTTGAGTTGAGGTATAAATGTTCAAAGTGCAAATGTTGTGTACTTTCTGCAATACGTGTGGTTGGTCCATCGAAAGAGACTGAAGATAGATTATTCTGCAACTGTAAAAAATGGGGGTTTGTGATTTTTTTCGTTGGCTGGAACCTCTCAACAGAAGCCACTAGGATCACGAAATGCACGCGGAGACTGAGGTCAACTCTTCCGTGTGTTTAGTTGATGAGTTCAAGGAAATTAAGATGGTGAACGAGTAGATCGTTTCCGAGTTAAAGGTGTTGCGACGCAATTTGAAAAACATCATGACTGTTTTTGTTGTCTTTATTGTAATTGTGTTGTTTAAAATAGTAATTTACATGGCCTACTATTGCTTATCGGGGGTGTGGTTTTTAAATTACTAGTGTTGTTCTTGTAGTTGTATTTTAGAAGGTGTAGTATTGCTCGTTAGTATTCCGATGTTTGTGCCTTGGATAGGTTTCAATTATTATTTTTTTAGAAAATTTTCCCCCGTTGAGTCATGGTTTAATGACAAACCTTCGGGTTGATGTACTTGATGCGTGTTTCTATTGTATTAGTAACCATTCCTTTTGAATTATTGTCAAGTTGTAGACTGGATTTGGGTTATTCTCGTTGTAGTAGTAGACATTTCCTCCAAATGCAATTAACATCCCCCGAATTATTTATAGTTAGTAAAATACCCCTAAAATACTAATAACATCCATGGCTATTTACACTAAGCAAGTGTACATTCGTCGAAGCCATGATACTTATAAACTTCCCCGCTATTAACAATAATAACCCACGGAGAAAGCAAGTCTTTCCAAACATATTTGCATCAATTTTTATTTTTTATTACAAACGCATCATAAAATAATAGCAATACCTTACTACTGCCATGCCGTGCGGAACCAACAAACAAAAACAAATCAACCAAGTCGCTAACACAGAAACGCCATAGTGCATACAGTTTTAATAACAAAAGTAAAGTTGAACAATCCTAAGTCCATTACGCATTTACGAACCACCACCCCTACGATTGCGCGGAATTTTCGAGAATCGAACAAATTTCAAGAGCGATGCGAGGGACGCCCTTATGGAAGATCTTGCTGGCTGGTTGCCTTTGTCTCCGGAAGTTGTTTCTCCATAATTGCAAATATGCAAACAAATATAATTAAAATGGGTACATTAAATTGAACTTTTAGAGTGTCACAAGATAGGTACCTGCTGTGGCTGTGTTTGAGTCCCTACGGTGCTGCGATCATTTGTCGAATCTCTATTAGGCATGACATGTTCCTTTGATGAATTATCAGCAGTCAGGAGAATCCATCAGAATGTAGGATAAAGTTCCCGATAGTCTAATTGAATGAGTTAATATACTACTTGACAACAGGCTGGATCAACCGGAGTGTTAGCACTGCCCGTCCCAACTGCACTTGACTTCTGCGTAGGCACCTGCGGTATATAACATGAATTTACACCATTTCTTCATGTTAGTATTCTCAAGAGAATCGGAACGCGTTAGTCCATACCTTCGAAGGGAATGGGACATTTTTTCATCGTCTTTTGTTATGCCCTTGTTGTAAACACTTGGAGCACATGGTCGTCTGTTTCCAAGTTCTTCTCGTCATTTCCAACGCGCCTCCTAGCTTTTTTTGGCCTTCCAGTGTGAATCTTTATTTTTGAAGGATCAACCGGGCCAAGGTTGCTTTCCTCATGTTCGTGCATGCCAGGCACATGGTTAATATGGTGGTTGTACACCCGTTCATACGTCTCCCTCCGGGAGTAGATATCCACAAAATATTCAACATTAAGGCGATAGTGATCGATGGCAGCAAGGGTATCTACAAATTTGAAACATCTCACATGTGTAGGTTCTATATCAAAGATGAACCACATGGTTTCGTTGATAATGTAGTACCTCTAAGTTTTCTCTACCACCCCATGATGCAAAACAGTTTCTAGACTCAACCTGCTGCTTATCGATCTTCGTCACAATGTTGGGGCAGACGGCGCCGGTAAAATTTTCAACCCCCACACATTTCGTCTATATTCTAACCATCAAGTTGGGCCTTATCCACTCCCACATATCAACAATTATGAGGTCTCTCTTATCCATTATGTACCGGTTGAAAGACTCGCATATGTTGTTTACAAGCACATCACTTTTGGTCCTCTGCGATAAATAAGCGCGGCACCAATGGTGCGGGGGAACTTCGCTCAACCATGCGTAAGCC